ACATATCCAGATGAATAGGTATTTATTTCCAGGACAAAAAAAAAATATATTTTAATACAAATTGGGAATGGTTTTGTGCTCTTCAATATTATATTTCATTCAAATGGAAGAACTAACATACATTCACAGAGAGGATCTCGGCCATCCCATCCCTGATCTCGGCATGTTCTTGTTGTTTCCTTACCTGCTAACATGTATCTGAAAGCAATGATTCTCCTCTTACCAAATACTCAACTAACACAGCAACAATCTAAATTCCACATGGTTTAAAACACTTAATCCACCACAAAGAAAGTGACTTCACTTACCCTTTGTCACAAACTGGTTTAGCCGTGTCGCCAAATAAATTCCCAATCATATCATATCTCCCATTAAGGAAATCTGCAAGACTTCCACAGGATTTTCCTGTAATGTATTCAAGATATTGATTCATTTAGAATTGGTGCTCTTCAAATACTGTCGAAAATAATGAAAAATAATCTTTAGTGTTGCTTCATTACATGATACAGGGATTTATTCTTGCTGTCAATGGCAAAACCACTATGAGCGATTTAAAGACTTCTTGAACTATACCATACATCCTTTCACATATCTAAATTAGACCTTTTAAAATACAATGTTCAAAGGCATTTTAAAGGAATTTACAAATGTACATTACTTAATATTTAATGACAGTACTTACTTGTGCAACTGAGTTCCAGACTTGTCCACTGGTTTCCCTCACAGGTAACTGATCTAGATGCTTTTAAGTCAACTGGTTTGTGTCCAATCATGCACTCAAATGTTACAGTGGATCCAACTGGGAAAATTTGAGTCGAGAGATGGTTTGCTGATAAAATGACATTTCTTGATGCAAAAGAAGGCTGTGTACATTCCGCTGTGGAAATAAAACAAATGCGTTACAGTAATCTGATGCAGTACTATATTGATCATCATAATTATTATTATTAGAACAACTTCTGCTCCATTCTATTCTTATATTTGGTAAAAAAAAAAATGACTAGGAGGTCTATCTTTTTAAACAATAGTAAATTAGTATGATTTACTTGAGTAAGACGTGCAGTTGAAATTAAATTACAATGCTTGAATGGGATCAGCTAATTAAAGTTTATTAACAGTTTTTACTTTTTTTTTCACGTTGCTCATACTTTATCAAATGACTGGCGAATTGTCGCGAAGTATGCAAAATCACATGCAAATACTGACGTGCTCGAGAGGCAGTATAAAATGCGGTGCACGCGACAATTACGTCAGAATCTTCTCCTTCACTTTGCTGAACAACCTAAGAATATGGCTTATAAACTATTTACAGCTCACAATTTAGGTTCGCTCATCAGAGGGCGGTGCCTGGATTGCCGCTCCTCTGCAGCGTTCAGGTGAGTATGACATTTTTCTTCAGATGCCAGATGAGTCCGTCTGCCCTCGATCAGTGGTGGACCTTAAGGACTCTGGTGATGAGCTCATGCTGACAAAATGTCCGCATTCCTCTCACCCATCGAACCTGCAGGACATCAGCCCGGCTTCTCATGTCCCCCTTCCATGGCGGAGCGGAGAGCCGAGTGCAGATACTGGAGCTAAGGGTTCTCATGTCGCCGCAGATGCCGCACAACCCACTGTCTATGTGTGCAGCCCCCCGCCTCAGAGTGGCGTTCTGCCATGTGCAAAGTACAATCACTGGCTCCTCACTCATTCACACGATACCAGCCCCTCATCAGCGGCTTCCATGGCGGAGCGGAGAGCCGAGTGCAGATACTGGAGCTAAGGGTTCTCATGTCGCCGCAGATGCCGCACGACCCACTGTCTAAAAAGTGTGCAGCTCCCCGCCTGGGAGCGGAGTTTTGCCGTGTGCAAAGCACAATCACTGGCTCCTCACTCGTTCACACGATACCAGCCCCTCATCAGCGGCTGCCGTGTTTGGAAGACACTGCTCTCTTATTCACACGATACCAGCCCCTCATCAGCGGCTGCCGTGTTTGGAAGACACTGCTCTCTTATTCACACAATACCAGCCCCCGCTTCAGTGCGGCGGCAAGCGCTTCAGTCGCTTACCCACTCACCAGCAGTAAATCAGCCCCTGCCTCATAGCGGCAGTGAGTCACCTGATGCCCCTGCACGGAAAAGCGCGCGAAGGCGAGGAGTCACCTGATGCCCCTGTGCGGAAAAGCGAGCGAATGCGAAGAGTCACCTGATGCCCCTGTGTGGAAAAGCGCAAAGGCGAAGAGTCACGATGTCCCGGCGAGCATCCTATCAGCCTTCCAGATTTCGCTGGACTATTACGTCAGTTGTTCACGCCCCTACGAAGTGGTGTTCAACTAGGTCATATAGCCATTCACAGTCTGTAGTGACAGGCGCAGATGCCGCCACCCACACCGGTTAAAAAGCGTGCCATGCAAAGCTATGAGCCACATTATGCCAAGGCGCGCTTTCCAACACCAGACTGCGAGATCGAGGTCTTCTTTGGCGCACGGCTCATCGCAGTGCAGGGACACCAGGCCCGCGACTGCTGCTGCCAGGAGCCGGATGTGCAGAGAAAAGTGTAAAGGGACCCGGGAAGAGGCGCCACGGCAAGCGGAGGAGCCCGCGCCGTGACTCCCGCCCGCTGTCAGCTGCCAAGCTGTCGTCCTGACAGCCCGGAGAGGAGGAAAACGTACGCGATCGGCCCAGCCCCCAAGCACCGCAAGCGATCTCAAAATTGTTCAAATTTGTGTTTTATTAGAGTGTGATCATTAAAAAATGCATACATTTGCACAAAAGAGTCTTTCCTCCTCACTCAGTCAATGTAGCGCCACTTGCCCCGCCTCAGAGCCGTGCAGAGCCGCTGCCCACACAGGTTATAGCCGCGCAGCACTCGCTGGCGCATCCTACGACCAAGCCGCTAAAGCTGCTATGTCAGTTCCTGAGCACGTGGAAAACTATTCCAGGAATCTCGCGCTGGTAACTCGGTGTGATAGAGCGTGGGTACGCCCTTCAATTCTGACGCAGACCACCCCGTTTCAACACCGTAGTGCAGACTCTAACATTGCCTCGAAATGCCCTGGTCCTGAGAACAGCGATAGAACGAGTCCCTCCGAGCGAGCTGGAGAGCGGGTTTTACAGCCTCAATTTTGTGGTGCCCTAGAGAGATGGAGGACTCTGCCCGATTCTAGATCTCAGGCCATCAGGATGATAACGCTGAAACAGATCCTGGCGCGAATTCGCCCCGGGGACTGGTTGTGTCCGTGAATTTAAAGGACGCGTACTTTCACATTCAGATAGCACCGTATTACAGACGCTTTCTGAGATTTGCTTTCGAGGGCACAGCGTACCAGTACTCTGTTCTCTCGTTTGGGCTGGCTTTGGCCCAGCGCACTTTCTCGAAGCGCATGGACACAGCTCTCGCACCCCTCAGAGCGAGCGGGATGCGCATTCTCAATTATTTGGATGACTGGCTGATCTTAGCTCAGTCACGGGACACACTATAGCCAGCCATATAGACAAACTGCTTCGTCACTTGGAGTTCTTGGGGCTATGTGTGAATGTGCTTAAGAGCATTCTCGCCCCGAGTCAATCTATAACGTATCTGAGAGTGTGCTTCAACTCGGTGGAGATGCGCGCTCGCCTCTCTCGGGAGCGCTTGACGGCCACTTTGTCTTCCCTGCGCCATTTCAGACTGGGCAGCTATGTTCACTTGAAGGAATTTCAGAGGCTGCTGGGACTCGGTATGTCATCTGGGGGCGTACGATCCAAGGCTCTGTACAAGCAGTCAGCGAATCTCCTGCTATGGACGGACCGTCACTTTCTCTCCATCAGAGCAGCGCACATCCCCGGTCTCCTCCTTTTTAGGAAGGGGATTCCTCAAGAAGAGTGGAGGCTGCATCCCGAGTCGGTTCGGATGATTTGGACCTGCTACGGGAGAGCGGAGGTGGATGTTCGCCACAAGCAAGAACGCGCACTGCCCGCTGTTCTTCTCCCTGTCTCACTCCCGGCTGGAAGGGGACACTCTGACATCGCACTGGCCAGAAGCCAGGCTGTATGCATTCCTCCGATCAAGATAATGCAGCTGGTGATATGCAAGATCAGGGAGGAGGTGGTTTCGGTGACACACCTGGCGGGCAATCGATCAGTAGGCACGCGCTGGTGGTGAGTTTTCTTAAAGGGTTAGTTCACCCAAAAATGAACCCCCGAGGCATCCTAGGTGTATATGACTTTCTTCTTTCAGACGAATCCAGTCTGAGTTATATTAAAAATTGTCCTGGCTATACCAAGCTCTATCATTGCAGTCAGCAGGTGTTGCAGTTTTTCAGCCCAAAGAAGTGAAATAACAGCGCCCATCCATAAAAAAATGGCTCCGGGGGGTGAACAAAGGCCTCCTGTAGCGAATCGATGCGTTTTTGTAAGAAAAATATCCATATTCAAAACGTAATACTCACTTGAATCTAGCTTGCGCTCACTGTTGTAAACGGAAGCAGTTCCGGGCGGATGACGTATGAGGTTAGCACTGCGCATGCGCCGCTCAGAAGTGACGCACGCGGAAGCGCAGGGGAGAGATCAAAACAAAACAACGGTCACGAATTAGAAGTACAAAACGAGGATTTGTAAAGAAGAATGTCAGAGGATTTCGATATAAGCCAAGAGGAGACTGGTTTTCCTTTGCTAAAGTAATGAAACTCTGCTTCCTTTGATCCTGTAAGCAAACGTTGCTTTTCACGAGACTCACCAGCGCATGCGCAGACTGAATTAAGTCTGCCATTCTATCAAATGTTACATAACCAATTAATCTTCGGCTTTACATTGTTAACTTTAATGCAGATTTTATTAGCTGTCAATCACTCAGTCACTGCTTTCCACTGTCAGGTGACAGGGAGCTAACTACCGCTGGGAATGTAAAGGGCTGAAGAAGAGAGAAAATGAAAAGAACACTGACAGATTTCTTTTGTAAACCACCTAAAGTTACAAATAATGGTGCTGGTGATAGCGATCATGTGGTGAATGTTGATCCACCAGCCGAAAAGAAGGTGTACAGTTTTCGGCGAGAATGGTTGAAAGACTTCGAGTGGCTTCGCTATGAAAATGCACTGTGCTCTATTCAAGATTCAAGATTCAAGATTTTTTATTTGTCACATACATGGTTATATAGGGAATATATGACCAGCAGTGAAATGTAGGTCAGGTCCGCTCCATGGACAGTACAATTATTAAAGAATACAAACACAAGAAAATTATATATAAATATAGGTATGGAAAAAGTAAGATAAAAAATAAGAATAAAATAAAATGCACAGGACAATATACTGTAGGCTTAATAAATATTTAGATGACCAGGAATGTACAATAGAAGAATGTGCAAACAGGTTGTACATGGGTAGTTCCATAGCAGCAATAGAGGTAAAAAAAGTAATAAATAAAATATTACAGAAATTGCTGTGTGCAAGTGACAATGTCTGTATATTACGTGTCTTACTGATAATTAAGTGAAGTCATGTTGGTGTTAAGAGACTGAGTTTGAGTTTAGGAGCACTCTATGCACTACTTTCACTGTAAAAAGCCTGTGGGACGGCGTTTGCAGGTAACAGTGTTCGTCACTGAATCTACACATTTTGTAATTGTTGTTTTACGATGTGCAGTTTGACATTATCATGCACGCATACATAGTGTTGTTTTTGGCGGCCTGTTATTAGAAATGGATATTATATAATAGCTGCTTTTTTGAACATTTTAGCAATTTAAAAATATTAAAAAATGATTTTTTTTACACGGCACCTCGGTTGGGAAACACTGTTCTAAATCTTTTTTAATTATAGTCATCGTCACATGACCAGCATTTACGTTGCGTCTCGTCTCGTTTTCGTCACGTGATAAAGGTTCGTTGATGACGATATTTAGTCATAATTTCTTTGA